CATACCATAAAGTCTGGCATATAGTAGACCTCAAACACTATTTGTTGAAAGAATAAATGAATGAATAGGTCAAAAATAACAAGGTGAAACTTATCAAATAAAATTAATTTGCTCAGGTACAGAATAGACTGAACTTGGTTTGATAGCAATTTAGATAAAGACCAGTCAGATACAGTTCATTACCAGATCAATTTAAGCCAAAAGTCCAATTAACAGAAGTATAATATCTAAGGAAATTAATCTCACTGTCATTGCTCTAGTCAGACTATGTGTAAAATACTAAATTCCTCCTGGGTATCACTTTCTAGCTTGACATTGCCAAGCTAGAGTCTAACAAGAGAGGGTAGCCAGGATAGTTAGAACTCTGGAGATGTTGTCAGGAGATATAATTGAAGTATCTGAGATGTCTAACTTGGAAAAAGAAAGCAAGAGGGACAAGCTTTGAATATGTAAAGAATTGTTTGTCATGGGAAAGATATATTAGTCATCCTCTGAGTCACCCAAGGAAAGAATATTGAAGTGACAGGGAAAAAAAATCTCGCTTTAGTATAAGGAAGGAATTTCTAACAGTTAGATTTGTCCCAAACAGGATTAATCTGCCCTGCAAAGAAGGGAACATCTCATCATTTTAAGTGTTCAAGCAAAAAGTACATAATCTGCCAGGAGCTTGCAAAGAAATTATTGCTGTGGATGGGTATTAGCATGAATGATCTGAAGAGCCTTTCCTGCCCTGATACTTTCTGATTCTATAAGCCCTGAGTGATTCACTGCCTGTCTCTTCAACATCATAATAGTCTCTATTTTCATCGACTTTTCTTTTTATTTAATACCCAATTAGTTCTCTTTGTTCTTTCTCCCATTACTCTCATTTGCTTGTGAGGTAGTCGTACAATCAAACATTCATTGAAATCTCAGAAGGGAAAAAAGAAATTGCCTCTTAATAGTCACAACCAGGAATTCCCTGGCAGTCCCGTGTTTAAGACTCCATTCTTTCAATGCAAGGAGCATGAGTTCTATACCTGGTTGGGGAGCTAAGATCTCACACTCCACACAGCAACCAAAAGAAAAAAAAAAAGAATCTCAACCTCTTTGCCCTAAAAGCAAATGGACTGCTTCCACCCGTGACTCATGCTAGTTTCCTGAGACATTGATGCTTTCTATGTATAGGATTATAGTGCCATTTTTGATGGTGGGATTGAGGTAATTGTCCCAAAGGGCAATAAGATAATGTTAGCTATGTAATTAACAATATCTTTGTAATTTCTATACAGTAACAAATAGTAAATACTGACTTGCCTGAAAATACTCATTTTACCATTGTTTCGTTTCACTTTCCTAGTTGAGTTGAAGAAAGTTTATCTTGGAGGAACTTTACAGGATCACATCCCCTGCCATCTCAGTGAAGCCAACAACCCACATTACAAATGTTAGAATATCTAATTAGCCTTAGATGATTCTAAGGATGGTGCCACAACTACATACTAGTGTAGTTGAAAAGACCTTGAGTCCTTTCCACATAATGAACATGTCACAATCTGACTTAGGCTTGTAGACACAGACTGTTAGAAAATATTCTAGAGAATTGAAATGCTATTTTTCAAATCTACACAAGCTTGTTCTTAAAAGGAATCTCTCATCTCTTATTCAGTAGCCACTTGTGCTATTTACCATTAGCCTATCAGGTAATCTATCAGATGTTGGCCAACACTGAACTATTTCCCATTCAAATTTTTATCCCTCATTCAAAATGACTGAAGTTATAGTTATGATACGTGGCTGCTAACTGGAGGTGGTTGCTTTGAATCTCATGATCTCAGAGTCTGAACAAATGTGTGCCCTTATCAATGGTCTAAACCAGAGCCATCCAACAGAACTTTTGGTGAGGATAAAATTGGTTTTCTATACTGTCCCATAAGATATCCATGAGCCACATGTGGCTATTGAGCACTTGAAAGGTAGGTATTGTGACTAAACAACTAATATTAAATGATACATGTATTTTTAAAGACTACTTTTAGAGCAGTTTTAACTTCACAGCAAAACTGTGAGGAAGATGCAGAGACTTCCCATATACCCCATTCCCCCCCACACACATATAACCTCTCCATTATCAATATCCCACACCACTGTGGTACATTTGCTATTAAAACAATCAATATGCTTACCTTTATTTACACATCAAAACCACCCAAAAGCCCATAGTTACATAATGGCTCATTCTTGATGTTGCACATTCCATTTATGTGAACAAATGTGTAATGACAAGTGTCTCTCATTATAGTATCATATAGAGTATTTTCATTGTCTTAAAAAACCCTCTGTGTTCCACCTGTTCATCCCTTTTCCCTTCCCAAATGCTGCCAACCATTGATTTTTTACAATCTCCATAGTTTTGCTTTTTCCATAATGTCAGGAAGTTGGAATTATACAGTATGTAGGCTTTTCAGATTGGCTTCCTTCACTTAGTAATATGCATTTAAGTTTTCAGCATATCTTTTCATGACTTAATAGCTCATTTCATTTTAGCATTGAATAATATTCCATTGTCTGTATGTACCACAGTTCACTTATCCATTCACCCTTTGAAAGAAATATTAGTTGCTTCCAAGTTTGGGCAATTACAAAGGTGCTATAAATATCTGTGTGCAGGTTTTATGTGGACATAGTTTTTCAGTTCCTTTGAGGGAAATCCAAGGAGTGTGATTACTAAGTCAAATGTTTAGAGCATGTTTAGCTTTGTAAGAAAGCACCAAACTGTCTCCAACATAGCTGTACTATCCTGCATTACCATCCATGAATGAGGATTCTGTTGCTGCACATCCTAGCCAACATATGGTGTTGTCAGCATTCCAGATTTTAGCCATTCTGATAGGTGTATAGTGCTATCTCATTGTTTAAATTTGTATTTCTTTGATGACATATGATATGGAGCATCTTTTCATATGCTGCTTTGTCATCTGTATATCTACTTTGGTGAGTTATCTGTTAAAGTTTTTGGTCCATTTTTTTTTTAATTGTTGAATGTCACGACCTCTTTATATCTTTTGAAAAACAGTTCTTTATCAGATGTGTCTTTTGCAAATATCTACTACCATGCTGTGGCTTGTCTTCTGTTCTCTTAACATGGACTTTTGCAGAGCAATTTTTAATTTTAATAAAGTCCAGCTTGTCAATGACTTATTTTATCTGTTGTGCCTTTGTTGTTGTATCTAAAAAGTTACTGACATGCTAGAATTCATCTAAATTTCCTCCTGTTATTTCCTAGGTGTTTAACGGTTGCATTCTTCATTTAGGTCTGTGATCTATTTTCAGTTAACTTATATGATGAGTGTAAGGTCTATGTCTAGATTCTTCTTTTCTTTCTTGCATGTGAAAGTCTAGTTGTTTCCATACCATTCACTTAAAAGACTATCTTTGCTCCATTGTATTGATTTTGTTCCTTTGTCAAAGATTATTTGACTATGTGGGTTTATTTTTGGCTCTCTATTCTGTTTCATTGATATATTTGTCTATTCTTTCACCAATACCACACTGTCTTGATTACTGTAGCTTTGTAATTAGTCTTAAATTCAGGCAGTGTCTGTCCTTCAACTTTCTTCTTCTTCAACACCATGTTGGCAATTCTGGGTCTTTTGATTCTCCATATAAACTTTAGAAAGAGCTTGTTGATATCCACAAAATAAATTACCCAGATTTTGATTGGGATTGTACTGAATCTACAGATCAAGTTTGGAAGAACTGGCATCTTGACAATATTGCCTGTTCCTATTCATGAATATTGACTATCTCTCCATTTACTTAGTTTTTCTATGATTTCATTCATTAGAGCTTGTAGTTTTCCTCATGTAGATCTTATACATATTTTGTCAGATTTATACCTAAATATTTCATTTAGGGGGCTGTTACTGAAAACAACATTATGTTTTCAATCTCAACTTGTTTGTTTCGATATAATCTTTATTTTAATTCATTTAAATAGCTTCATCTGTATAGTGACTATCCTCTTAGGCAGCACAAGCTGTCCCTACAAAATACAATCTTGAATTGAGCACCGAATAATTGATTTTTTTGAACTGTGGTGTTGAGAAGACTTTTGAGAGACTTTGAGAGTCCCCATGAGACGACTGCAAGGAGACCAAACCAGTCACTTCTAAAGGAAATCAGTCCTGAATATTCATCCGAAGGACTGATGCTGAAGCCGAAGCTCCAATACTTCGGGGAACTCACGCAAAAAAAAAACTTGACTCATTGGAAAAGACCCTGATGCTGGGAATGATTGAAGGCAGGAGGAGAATGGGACGGCTGAGGATGAGATGGTTGGATGGCATCACCGACTGGATGGACATGAGTTTGAGCAAGCTCTGGGAGCTGGGGAAGGATAGGGAAGCCTGGCATTCTGCAGTCCGTGCGGTCATAAAGTCAGATACGGCTGAGCTACTGACCTAAAAATATTATTGGGTTAGTCAAAACCTTCGTTCGGGTTTTCCCGTAAGATATTAGGGGAAAAGGAACTCTGTGACCCATAGCATGATCCCCTACACAAATCAAACTGCCCTACCTTAAGAGAGAAGAGGTAATGTTAACTGCAGGTTGGAGCACAGCTCCTCCCCCGCCTCCCCAAAATAAATCAGAGGGCAGGGAAGGAAAAAAAAAACAAGACTGGTTAACTTGACCATCACTGCGCCAAAATATTAGGAATAATGCAAACAAAGACCTGAAGTAACACTTTATTAACTTGGCTTTCCGGCAGACGCGTACAGAGACTGACGGCCGGGCTCTCCGCAGCCCGCAGGCATCCCACGCCCAGGACACCCTCCCGCGCGGGGAGGGCGGGGCTGCGGCTTTTCTGGCCCCGCCCCTGCCGGCGCAGCTCGCGCACGTTCCGTAGCCGCGTCGCGGGGAGTCTCTTGTCCCTCCGCGCGGCCCGTTCCGCCTCGGCTCCCACGGCCTTTGGGCTGACGTGTCTGCGGTTCGTTGGCGGCTGGGCGAATAGGGCCGAGATGGCGGACGCCTGGGAAGAGATTAGGCGTTTGGCGGCAGACTTTCAGCGGGCGCAGTTTGCAGAGGCCACGCAAAGGTGCTTGACCCTCCCTCTCCGTTTGTGGAGTCCAAAATAGCCTCGGGGGGCCACGCCGGGACCTGAGGCTGCAAACCCCAGGCCTTGGACCCCGGACCTTCCCATCCCGTCAGCGTTCCCGCCCCCTCCCTTCCTCCCAGAGGCTGGAGTGCGGTTTCCGAAATAGTTCTCGGTGGGGAAGACCTAGAACATTCCTTCCCACCCCCCTCCAGGCCCCAGCCAGGTGCAGGCGAGGCCACCCCACCTCGACGGCTGGGACTGGTGACCCTAAGACTATCCCTCTGATCCTTGCTTAACTGTTCGCAAGTCCCTGAAGCATCATTGACTATGATACACTTCCTTAGAGCTTGAAAGGAGAGGCTAACCCCAAGGTACAGTATTTTGCAAATACTATGTTGACTCCGTAAACATTTTGCCTTCTTGTTCACCAGGATAGGTGTGCTAGGCCAGAGCCATACTCCCATCTGTCATTTTTAGGGACTCCACAGACATTTGACGTTTTGGGGGGTGTGTCCTGAAAAAGCCCTGTAAGTTTGCTTTTTACCTTTACGGAACACATATAATGGTAATAGAACCCTTTTTTATCTGTTGGCTACTTCTTGCCTTGTTCCTTCTGGAACTGAAGACTTTAATCCCCTGATGCTGTGTTTTGTATCACTGCTTAGCAAACGAGGAAACTTAGTTAAGTGTTTGGGTAACTATCAGTTGCAAATTATGGTTTTCCTGGCCTAGCCAGGTGTCCTGCTTACAAAGCTTATACATAGGAGTGAGGCAACTGTGCATTTAATAAAAGAAAATTTTGTGTTTTTTTTTTTAAACTGAAGAGAAAGTGGAAATTGAAACAAAAGTAGGACATGTTTTTTCTTCTACTTACATTACATGTCCTTACTTTTCTATTCAGATTTGAAGATTAGAAGCAGGCCTAAAAGAGCAAACTCGAAATCTACAATAGATTTGCAACAATGAACTACGTGATTTAAGTTAATGGAAACCTGTTTACTCCCTAGAATTTTAAAAAATGTTTTGAATTAGTGTTATACGAAAAAAGATGCAGATGCTGTAATATAGAACATGATGACTATCCAGACCTTTTAAAAACCCGTTGTCATACATCTTTTTAAACATATTGAGCACTGGATGTAACAAATTCATTTTTAAAACTTTTGTTTCCCTCAGATTGTCAGAGCGGAACTGCATTGAGATTGTGAATAAATTGATTGCTCAGAAACAGCTAGAAGTAGTTCACACACTTGATGGGAAGGAATATATTACTCCAGCCCAAATTAGTAAAGAAATGAGAGATGAGCTACATGTTCGAGGTGGTAAGTAATTCCTTAGTTTTTTCTTCTGGTTCTTCGAAAAGGGGCCTAGGCATGACCTTTCAAACCATAAATCATAAATGATTTGGAGGTTATAGGACACCCTTCTCAATTGTTAATTTGATAATCAGCCTTAATACTTTAAATAGGTTTGGGTGAACATAATATAATTTAAATGAAGTCAAATATTGTCACTTTACAAAATTGCATTTTTTTATTTTGAGTTGTGTGTTCTGTTTGTGAATTAATTAGCTGTATCTTTTCACAGTTCTTGAATTTATTGGGTGACTCGGGTGGACTTAGCTGTCTGTTATTAGGTGATAATTATGAAAAGGGAACAGAGGTTTTAAATTACAGATCACTGAAAATCAAGACACTACTACCATGTCTTTTTAAATTTTGTTTGCAAATTACAAAATAATTTAGTATGGTGTTATATCAGATTGTAGGAAAAGCTACTACAAACACAAAAGTTTTTGTTTCCATTGCCTTTTTGAAATATGAAGAAATTACTGAGCAAATTTGAATACTGTTTGATTAAAATAGATGCATCTGTGAAAACAACTTGTTAGATGTTATTAGATACACCTTTGGTGTTTGTTTTTTATCTTACTGCATAGTCCTAATAAAATACTAGCTGTAATTTGAAATGCTTAGCAGATATTCTTTAGCTAATAAGTAATAACCTACCAGTTTCAAATAATTGAAAATACTTTATCTGAATTTTGTTGTTAATATGTCTTTGGTCACAGTAGATAAATTGTGAAGGTATGAAAATAATCCTCATAGGTCTGCCCAACTCAGTATCAGCTGATGCTGGTTATTGGTTTGATATGACAAATGAAATTTTGAAAATAAGCTATCCTCTATATTTTAGCCATGGATACTTACTATGCTACTAACTTGTCTTTGAAGACATTAATTACTGTGGCCCTGTTGGTAAAGAATCCACCTGCAATGCAGGAGACCCTGGTTCGATCCCTGGGTCAGGAAGATCTGCTGGAGAAGGGAACAGCTTCCCACGCCAGTATTCTTGGGTTTCCCTGGTGGCTCAGATGGTAAAGAATCTGCCTGTGATGCGGGAGACCTGGGTTCGATCCCTCCCTTGGGAAGATGCCCTGGAGAAGGAAACAGCTACCCACTCCAGTATTCTTGCCTGGAGCATTCCATGGACAGAGAAGTCTGGCAGGCTACAGTCTGGCAGGTCACAGTCAGTCACGACTGAGTGTCTCTCACTTTTCACTTTCATTGTGTCCTTTGCAGAAAGATTTATGTTTTGGATTTTGAAATGTCCAAAACATAAATCTGTTGGAATTTGCAGTTTTGGGCTGGTATGTACTTACTGATAACTTAAATGAATGTCTTTTTTTTAAAGGTCGAGTAAACATCGTTGATCTGCAACAGGTAAATTTCAGCTTTATAACAGTTTTTACTTTGATTTGTCAACTTTTATGTTACTAATTTTTTCAGTGCCTTAAGTAGTCACTTGGTATTGGTATCATATTATGTTTGTGAAGAAATATATGACCTTCACTGATACATTTAATCAGAATACATTTAATCAGTTTAACAAGTTTTTCTTTCTCAGTTGACTTGCTTATACTTTATTCTTTAAAATATAAACTAATAGTTACCATTTTATGTAATTATAGAGCTTATGTAATTTTGAGAGAAAAATCACTAGTTTCACAGTGACTGGTTTTTAGTATGTGGAAGTTAAACCTAGGAGATATTTTTAGAAAATACAAGTGTATGTGTTACCAGTAAGGGTATTTTGTTGTTGTTCAGTGGCTAAGTCGTGTCCGACTCTTTGCGACCTTACGGACTGCAGCATGCCAGGCCTCCCTGTCCCTCACCGTCTCCTGCAGTTCACCCAAGTTCATGTCCATTGAATCGATGATGCCCCTCAACTGTCTCATACTCTTCTGCCCTTTCTCCTTTTGCCTTCAGTCTCTCCCAGCATCAGGGTCTTTTCTAATGAGTCAGCTCTTCGCAGCAGGTGGCTAAAGTATTGGAGGTTTAGCTTCCACATCAGTCCTTCCAAAGAATTTTCAGGGTTGATTTCCCTTAGGCTTGACTGGTTTGATCTCCTTGCTGTCCAAGGGACTCTCAAGAGTCTTTTCTAGCACCACAATTCAAAAACATCAATGCTTTGGCATTCAGCCTTCTTTATGGTCCAACTCTCACATTTGTACATGACTACTGAAAAGACCATAGCTTTGAGTATACAGACCTTTGTCACTGTATAGATTTGTCATAGCCCTCCTTCCAAGAAGCAAACATCTTCTAATTTCATGGCTACAGTCACAATCTGCAGGATTGTGCAGGCACAATCTGCCCGGGAAGAAAAAAAATCTATCACTGCTTCCACTTTTTCCCCTTCTATCTGCCAGGAAGGAATGGGACCAGATGTTATGACCTTAGTTTTTTTTAATGTTGAGTTTTAAGCCAGCTTTTTCACTCTCCTCCTTCACCCTCATCAAGAGGCTCTTTAGTTCCTCTTTACTTTCTGCCATTAGAATAATATCATCTGCATATCTGAGGTTGTTGATAATTTCTCCTGGGAGTCTTCATTCCATTTTCTAACTCATCCTGCTCAGCATTTCGCTGATGTACTCTGCATACCAGTTAAATAAACAGGGTGACAATATACAGCCTTGTTATACTCCTTTCCCAGTTTTGAACCAGTCAGTTGTTCCATACAAGTTCCAACTGTTGACTTTTGGCCTGCATGCAGGTTTCTCAGGAGACAGGTAAGATGGTCTAGTATTCTCATCTCTTTAAGAATTTTCCACAGTTTGTTGTGATCCACACAGTCAAAGGCTTCTGCTTAGACAATGAACCAGAAGTAGATGTTTTTCCAGAATTTCCTTGCTTTCTCTATGATTCAGTGATTGCTGGCAATTTGATCTCTGGTTCCTCTGCCTTTTCTAAACTCATCTTGTACATCTGGAAGTTCTTGATTCAAATACTGCTGAAGCCTACCTTGAAGGATTTTGAGCATAACCTTACTAGCATGGGAAGTGAGCACAACTGTCCGATAGTTTGAACATTCTTTAACAGTGCCTTTCTTTGGAATTGGGATGAAAACTGACCTTTTCCAGTCTTATGGCCACTGCTAGGTTTTCCAAATTTGCTGACATATTGGGTGCAGCACTTTGGCACCATCATCTTTTAGTATTTTAAATAGCTCAGCTGGAATTCTGTCACTTCCACTGTTCTTGTTTTGGTAGTAATGTTTGCTAAGGCCTACTTGACTTCACACTCTAGGATGTCTGGCTGTAGGTGAGTGACCACACCATTGTGATTATCCGGGTCATCAAGACCTTTTTTGTACAGTTTTTCTGGGTATTCTTGCCACTAATCTCTTCTGCTTCTGTTAATTCCTTACCATTTCTGCCTTTTATCGTGCCCATCCTTGCATAAAATACTCCTTTGACGTCTGCATTTATCTTGGAGATACCTAGTCTTTCCTATTCTGTTGTTTTCTTCTGTTTCTTTGCATTGTTCATTGAAGAAGGCCTTCTTATCTCTCCTTGCTATTCTCTGCATTCAATTGGATATATCTTTCCCTTTCTCCATTGCTTTTCACATCTCTTTCCTCAGACAACCACTTTGCCTTCTTGCGTTTCTTTTCTTTCCGATAGTTTTGGTCAGTACCTGCTGTACAACGTTACAAAGCTCTGTCCATAGTTCTTCAGGCATTCTGTCTACCAGATATAAGCCCTTGAATCTATTCATCACCTTTACTGAATAATCATAAGGGATTTGATTTAAGTCATACCTGAATGGCCTAGTGGTTTTCCCCACTTTCTTTTAGTTCAAACCTGAATTTTGCTGTAAGGAGCTGATCATCTGAGCCACAGTCAGCTTCAGGTCTTGTTTTTGCAGACTATATAGAGCTTCTCCATCTTTGGCTATAAAGAACGCAATCAATCTGATTTTGGTATTGATCATCTAGTAATGTCCATGTGTAGAGTTGTCTCTTGTGTTGCTGAAAACGGGTGTTTGCTATGACCAGTGAATTCTCTTAGCAAAGCTCTGCTAGCCTTTGCCCTGCTTCATTTTATACTCCAAGGCCAAATTTGCCTGCTAGTCCATGTATTTCTTGACTTCCTACTTTTGCATTCCAGTCTCCTATAATGAAAAGTACATTTTTCTTTTTGGTGTTAGTTCTAGAAGGTCTTGTAGGTCTTCATAGAACCATTCCACTTCAGCTTCTTTGGCATTACTGGTTGGGGCATAGACTTTGATTACTGTGATATTGAATGGTTTGCCTTGGAAACGAACTGAGATCATTCTGTTGTTTTGGAGATTGCCCACAAGTACTGCATCTTAGACTCTTTTGTTGATTATGAGGGCTACTCTCTTTCTTCTTTAGAATTCTTGCCCATAGTGGTAGATATAATGCTCATCTGAAGTAAATTTGCCCATTCCCGTCCATGTTACTTCACTTATTGCAAAGATGTTGTTGTTCACTCTTGCCATCTCTTAGTTGACCGAATCTAATTTACCTTGGTTCATGGACCTACTTTCCAGGTTCCTATGCAATATCATTCGTTACAACATTGGGCTTTACTTTCACTGCCAGACACATCCACAACTGAGCATCATTTCTGCTTTGGCCCAGCTGCTTCATTCATTTTGGAGCTGTCAGTCTGGGGTAATTGCCCTCTGCTCTACCCCAGTAACATATTGGACACTTTCCAACCTGGGGGACTCATCTTCTGATATTGTATCTTTTTGCCTTTTTCTATTGTTCATGGGGTTCTCACAGCAAGAATACTGGAGTGGTTTGCCACTTACTCCTCAATGGACCATATTTTGTCAGAACTCTCCACCATGAGTCTGTCTTGGGTGGCCCTGCAGGGCATAGCTCATAGGCTGATTGAGTTTTGCACACCCCTTCACCTTGACAAGGCCGTGATCCATTAGGGGGCATCAGTAAGGTACACTACAATATATGCAGGAAACTGGCCAATTTTGTGTGAATAGGTTTAATTTCTTATTTTTTCAATATTTTTTATTTTGTTTCAGAGTATAGTTGATTTATAGTTCTTTTTCAGAATCCTTTCCCACATGGGTTATGCAGAACATTGGATAGTATTCCCTGTGCTATACTGTAGGACCTTCTTAATTATTTTATACATAGTAGTGTGTATGAGTTCATTTCACTTGCTCAGTCATGTCCAACTCTTTGTGATCCCATGGACTGCAGCACGCCAGGCCTCCCTATCCATCACCAACTCCTGGAGTTTACGCAAACTCATGTCCATTGAGTTGGTGATGCCAACCAACCATCTCATCCTCTGTCATCCTCTATCATCTCCTTATCCTTCAGTCTTTTCCAGCATCAGGGTCTTTTCAAATGGGTCAGCTCTTTTCTCAGGGGGCCAAACTATTGGAGTTTCAGTTTCAACATCAATCCTTCTAATGAATATTTAGGACTGATTTCCTTTAGGATGGACTGGTTGGATCTCCTTGCAGTCAGAGGTACTCTCAAGAGTCTTCTCCAACACCACAATTCAAAAGCATCAATTCTTTGGTGTTCAGCATTGTTTATAGTCCAACTCTCATATCCATACATGACTACTAGAAAAACCATAGCCTTGACTGTCCAGACCTTTCTTGGCAAAGTAATGTCTCTGCTTTTTAATAGGCTGTCTGGGTTGATCATAGCTTTTCTTCCAAGGAGTAAGCGTCTTTTAATTTCATGGCTGCAGTCATCATCTGCAGTGATTTTGGAGCCCCCCAAAAATAAAGTCAGCCACTGTTTCCACTGTTTCCCCATTTATTTGCCATGAAGTGATGGGACCAGATGCCATGATCTTAGGTTTCTGAATGTTGAGCTTTAAGCCAACTTTTTCACTCTCATCTTTCACTTTCATCAAGAGGCTTTTTAGTTCCTCTTCACTTTCTGCCATAAGGGTGGTGTCATCTGCATATCAGTGGTTATTGATATTTCTCCCGGCAATCTTGATTCTAGCTTGTGCTTCATCCAGCCCAACATTTTGCATGATGTTCTCTGCATGTAAGTTAAATAAGCAGGGTGACAATATACAGCCTTGATGTACTCCTTTTCCTATTTGGAACCAGTCTGTTGTTCCATGTCCAGTTCTAACTGTTGCTTCCTGACCTGCATACAGGTTTCTCAAGAGGCAGGTCAGGTGATCTGGTATTCCCATCTCTTTCAGAATTTTCCACAGTTTATTGTGATCCACACAGTCGAAGGCTTTGGTGTAGTCAATAAAGCAGAAATAGATGTTTTTCTGGAACTTCCTTTTTGATGATCCAGCGGATATTGGCAATTTGATCTCTGGTTCCTCTGCCTTTTCTAAAACCAGCTTGAACATCTGGAAATTCACAGTTCACATATTGCTGAAGCCTGACTTGGAGAATTTTGA